AAGTTTGAAAAGAATGAATGGACGCTTAACAGTTCTGACAGCTCTGACCATTCACATAGTGTTGTCGGTTATCACTTCCAATTAAAGTCGGTGTTTTTTTTTAAGTACTACAACATTTCGTAATTCAAACATATCCATGATTGTTCGGTACATGCGCTGAACTTGTCACTCATTCGACCATGCTATACTACTACATACACAGTTAGAGAATACACTTTCCTTCAATCATTAAAATTTCAGCTATTGTTACTAACTAAGTAAATCAAGCAAATGGTAAGTAATGGAAAAGTTTCAGGGTTTTAAAAGCACAATGATTGTAAAAACAACCAATATCGAAAGTTTAGCGAACAGTAAAACACATTTAGATTGAAAATCATAACTGACATTTTGTAGTAATTTATTTTAATTTGCAATTTCATGATCAAAGTTACATATTTTGTTTATCTTTCATCAACGGTATTTTTCGTTCATCTTGCCCCACCTTCCTCTACTCTAGTGGATTTCATTCAAAAATCTTGTATGTTTTAAATAGATAATATCAACATAAATCAAATAACTTATTAGTAAAAGTTTCTTGTGTTTATTTATCATAATACAACATCATAATAAATCATAATGTTGTATAATAATAATGGGAAATTTATAATGGTCATTTTAACACCGGCCACAAATTAAAGTTAAGATACATAAACCAAGATAAAACAGTGAAAGCTGGCTGAAAGAAGTACGTTACCTTTAGCATCCTCCACAATAATGATGGTACTGCTAGTACAAGAAGAAACATAAAGAATTGCCAAAAATATCACAGACTGATGGAACACTTTCATTTTAGGACGAAAATATTGAAAACACGACTAAAACCGACCCGCCGATAGAACTGCCATTGCGTAAGCTTAAGGTACTATTATTTAACACTGTTTAATTAACATAACTTTAACATTTATTATTAAGACAATTAAGAACGTAATTTTAATTTGACCATGTCTCAATAGACCTTTTTGTTCCCAAGGTGCCAGATACAACATTAACATACAAACAGAATTGTGAAATTTTTTCTTTCTTCTCGATATATTACAAGAACCGCCGCTCTTGAATTAAAACAACCCGAAAACAGAATAAGAAATTTCTTCCAACGTTAGCCACCAACTACTGGGAATTTGTGGTAGGATCTCGACGAATATATGCATTCCACCCAAGGATACATTTTGCGATCTGTGAATGAGTGTTTTTTGTTGTGCTGCCCCTCTTTCTCGTAGTGGGAGGGCGACTGCACCGATGTCTTCTGTGGGAATCCGGAAACCGGAGTTTTGAGGCGCCCACCCATCAGTTTCATGCACCATTGGCTTTTTTACTCTTTGTTATTGTTGGTTTTGTTGATGATACGATACGGAACTATATTTTAACACCACAATCGAAAGTATTGTTGTTTTGTTGCCTGAATTGCGTGCGTAATGACGTCGGAACTGTTGCAAGGCCCAACAGTTGCAACAGATAATCATCACAATAAAAAGCCATCAAATGGATTACAATGGGCTTACATTTTATTCTTGGAGTAAAACGGCAACATTGTGTGTTTTTTACTACTGAGGATATGCAAATTTTGCATAAACCGTATACCGTAAACGATGAACACAAAAAATTTATGAATCATGGCAGAAATTAACTTGTTAATTTATGGAAGAGAGGATCACGGTAATGACTTTACATAAGGAGTTCCATCATTTTAAAAATTATAACTTAACAATGGTGATGTAAATAATTGCAATGATTTAACATGTAAACTTACTGGAAATTGGTTAGGTGTCCTTTGTTTCTAAAAATAAATACATTTAAAGCTTGGTTTGTGACAATAGACAACTTTTATATTAGATATCTTTTCCGCGATATGGTATTTAATATTCAGTAATGTTCACCGTATGTGGAATAATTTTAAGAGCATGAAAAATATTTTGTAACAATTTCGGTAACATCGTAGATTTAATTGCATCGTAATATAGAACATTCACTTCCCTCTTAACCACTTTGGCGTAGAGGAAAATTCAAACTATTAAATAATACACCTATAACAGGAAAATTTTAATTTTACTATTTTGTTTTAAGGGTTTACCAAGTTGGCATCTTCAGGAAACATATTGTCCCCTTGTAACAAAAACACTCCAAAGGAAAGAAAAGTTGGACTGTTATTAATATTCGAAATATTAAAATTTGATGTCCTAATTTTGAAAAAATGTGATGTATTTGCAGTCACAAATATTCAGGATATAGAGTAGTGCCAAAATTGTACAAGTATATTTCTTTACTAAAGGGAACCCAAAAAGTTACTAAAAATAACAGACAATCTTAATAAACCTATGTATTTTCTTTTTTCCACTTTATGCAGCGAAATAATAATAATTGCTATGTACTAAGTTTTGAAAATTATTTCATTAAAAATTTTCTGAGCAACCGCGCATTTAAATACATAGTTCCTTTTTTAAGAATAAATTTAAAATTTTAAGATAAAAGATATAAAAACTATAATTTTGACGGTTGAAATAAAATTAATACCAAAATAGCAATGTCATTTAAATTAAAATAAGATTATTACAACTTACGGCAACTAAATTTGGCTTTAAAAAAACCCTGTGCAGTAATTTATATTCACAATACAAGAGCAAAATTATAGAGTAATAATTGAAGCAATGTCATTTCATATAGGAATAACATTATAATCGTTACATAAGGACTTCCATGTGCATAATGTCAAAATAGACCATAATGTAACTCCAAGATTTAACCGATAAATTATTTTTGGGGAACATCCTGTACTTTATGTTATTTTTATGTTAACTGTATTACCGTTCTTCACATAAGGTTAAAGTAATTACTGAACAATGTGGCATTAAAATAATCTCTACTGCACTTTGATCTATTATTGCATTTTTTTCTAGGAATGTTGACATTGAGGATGATAATAATATAACATTTAATATAGTACTATAGTAGTACCTAATTTAATAAAAATCTTTTAAATTATATTAATTATAAATCAAGAATATTTTCCAACTAAACGTACGAGCTTCTTTTCTAACAAAAATGTCCTTCCAATAGCTTTGCCACGATTATTAAAACTGCTAAACAATTATTTTGTAGATCCTAGACAGCAAAACAGTATCAATTAGGAATCCAAATTAAAGAAGTAATTAAAATTGCTTGTTAAAAAGATGGCATTTTGATAAGTCGAATCCATGCATAATGTCTATTGTTTTAGTTCTGTTTTTGCTTTTTTTTTACTCCGTCGAGCTAATAACATATAACTGTTTTTAATTATCTCGTATCACCGTCCCGTTAAAATCCGGTAACAAGGTTTCGGTATTATTACGTATAATGAACTGCAAAAAGTGTAGATAGTTTTTACTAGTGACAGCATCAAAACCTGATGTTATCTCCGGGCTACTTTTTAAAAGTGACTGTTCCTATGCGAGTTAATTGATTTTTATTTTAGCGTGGTGTTCAGAACTGAGAAGTTGCTAAAAAATTGTAGTAAACGTGTGAGTAAAATTTCCTTGTTATGTCTAAAAGAAGAAGAAGATATTTAGTAGGACTAGAAACATGTATTTTTCACTATGAAACTGTAGACACTCAGTAAACAAAAAATGTTTGCTGTGAAATTTTTAAACGGTTAGTAAAATACATGAGGAATTAAGTTTAAATAATTCGTAGATTCAAATTGAAATAAATTTTCAGCACAAAACTCCAGATGTTCGTATCTTAGAAGGTGTGAAATGCGAAGAAAACACGAAATTAAACATGCTGTTTATAGAGGTAGGTACAAATTTCAATAATTTTGATTAACAATGTCAAAGTAATATGTAGAGTCCGGATTTATATGCACACAATTTTTCTGAAATAGGCGCATATATATGCACCCGAAAAGGCTTAAATATGCATACATTTTTACAAAGTAAGCTCGGTTTTTAACACTCATTGCGGTTTTAAGTGAAAAAAAAAATCGTTTCATTATAATTGATACCAAAAAAAAAAAACTATTTTTATTAAAATGCAAAAAATATATATCTTTTCTATTTGGTGAAAACAAATAATGCAGACTCTAGTAATATGTATTGTCACTGACATTTTAAACGGCAGTCGTTCTTTTTTTATACATAACCTAGATCACCCTATATACATATGTACATACCAGATAAAATATTTCAACATATGATTAACACCATATACGATCAGATAGATAAAATACTTTCTTAGATATATTTAACTGTAATAATTCACAAAATTTCCACACGAAAAACTGGACCTCTACCTTGCATGTTCAATTATTTCTCCTAAGTCTAGCATAATCTTTCTTGCTCCAAAATGACATAATTTTTACAAGTTTTTTACCTAATTGCAAATTACACCTACCGTGCAGGTATTTGCAACAATTATAGTGGCGGCATTACGTAAGAAAAAATGCTTGCAACAGGATGAGTCACATAAAAACAGTTTTATTAGCTTTTTTCAGCAGAATCTCCAACTGAAAGCGAGCATCCTGTTTACGGGCGAGAAAACAAAAGAGCTGAATTGAGCAAAACGAAGAATTTGTCAGTTTTCAAGGAAAAAGATCGTAAGCACCTGAATAATTGGTCAATTTGTTTTGTGACGATCATACTTTAACCTTGAGATGATTTTATCTTGTGAGAATAGAGAGTACCGCCTTTTTTTGGCCATTTTGAGGAAAAAAATGACTTTTTTCAGGATCCGGTAATAAATTGTCAAATTATCGCGTTCGAAAATCGCATTGTTTACAATCATTTCGAGACATTTAAATAGTACAGACTTCAAAAATGATAAATGAGCACAATAATTAGTTATGCATGTAAACAACAATAAGTGACCATTGTTGTAGCCACTGCCAACCTTCAACCAATAGATCCGCTAAGATCCCTATCTAATGATGTAAGCATGGCTTGTACAACAAAAATAACTGTAGTTTCCACGAAAAAACAAAAAAGCTAACTCACCTTCATCCAGTTCGGTAATTATCGATGTTATCGATTCACCGTGCGGTCCAATACTTTGTGTTACGATGAGCTTAGAATGAGGGTCCTTGGGCTTCGAACTACCTTTAATGGAATTGTCGTAACCACCACCAGGTTTCGTAGAGTCTGGTGGTTTTCCTGAGTCAGGTTTCGGATAACCTTGTGAGGGTTTTGAAGGTGCTTCTGGTCGACGGTCGTATCTGTCGATGTCACTATGGAAGAGATAATCGTTCCCTGGCTTTGAAACCCTGTAGTCATCCGAAGGTGGCCTTTTGTAGTCACTAGTTGGATTAGGCCTTGAATCGTAGTCATTTGGTCTGCTGGGTGGATTCGGTCTGGATGACTGTGGTTTATCATAACCACTGGGAGGTTTTGATCCATAATTGTTGGACGGATTAGGTCTGTCGTAGTCAAGCGGTCTATCAGGACGATGTGGTCGTTCAATGTAGTCAATATTGGGAGAGTTTGGTTTCTCATAGTCATTTGGGTTTGGTCTGCTGGGAGGTCTTGCATTGTAGTCATCGGGAGGAGGACGCGGCCTTGGGTTGTATTCATTAGAAGGAGGGCGTGGTTTTGGGTTGTATTCGTCAACAGGAGGACGAGGTCTTGGATTGTATTCGTCAACAGGCGGGCGAGGTCTTGAATTATATTCGTCAGTAGGAGGGCGAGGTCTTGAGTTATATTCGTCAGTAGGAGGGCGCGGTCTTGAGTTATATTCGTCAGTAGGAGGGCGAGGTCTTGAATTGTATTCGTCAGTAGGAGGGCGAGGTCTTGAGTTATATTCGTCAGTAGGAGGGCGAGGTCTTGAGTTATATTCGTCAGTAGGAGGGCGAGGTCTTGAATTGTATTCGTCAGTAGGAGGGCGAGGTCTTGAGTTATATTCGTCAGTAGGAGGACGAGGTCTTGAATTGTATTCGTCAGTAGGAGGGCGTGGTCTTGAATTGTATTCGTTACTAGGAGGACGAGGCCTTGAATTGTATTCGTCAGTAGGAGGGCGAGGTCTTGGATTATACTCGTCAGTAGGAGGGCGAGGTCTTGGATTATATTCGTCAGGAGGAGGACGAGGTCTTGAACTATATCCGTCATTAGGCGGACGAGGTTTTGAATTGTACTCATCGGGAGGAGGACGAGGCCTATACCTATCACTATTTGGTCTGTAATAATCATCAGGCCTGTAGTAATCATTGTAATGATCAGGTCGTGGTATATAAGAACCATATTTATCCGGAATTGGTCTTTGTCCATACGACACCATATTACTTTCTCCGGGTCTTGAGTCATATCTATCTGGATTTGGCCTTCCATAGTCCGGCCTCTGTGGTCTTAAACCATACTCATCAGGTTTTGGTCCTTGTGGTTTATCATACGGATGATTTAAAGCAGACGGACGAAACGGTGGTCGTGCGTAACTGTATGGCCCACCACTCACCAAAATTTCGTGATATGGATCTAGAACTGGTTTCTGAGGTCCAGTACTAACGCTAACCAACGTTTGAACGTGTTGTATTTCCTCTTGAGGTCTGCCGTACGAAGGTCTATTACTAAGAGCGCCATAACCATCTGATGGTTTATTGGGTGAAGGATAACCAGAACTCGACGGTTTTTCATATTGATAACCGCCACTTTGAGGTTTTTCGTAAGATGGCGGACTTGGGGGTTTATAGGGTGGTGGTTCATAGCCACCACCTTGAGGTTTTTCGTAAGATGGCGGACTTGGTGGTTTATAAGGTGGTGGTTCGTAGCCACCTTGAGGTTTTTCGTACGACGGCGGACTTGGTGGTTTATAAGGTGGTGGTGGGTCATAGCCACCTTGAGGTTTATCGTATGAACCAGACGGTTGTTCCCCGCTAGGGGGTTTATTATAATGATCGAACGCTGGATTATTTTTATCTATTACTAATGTGCACCCTAATTTTTTTATATATAAGTCGTAATCGGTATCAGTTTTCGTTCCGATGGGTTTCAAGTCTGCTGTTTCCTTGATTGAGTTTCTACTAAGCTCACAGCTTGCGTTACCTTTGACTCCGATCCTAGATAAGTATAATTGGTTGCCTATATTAAAAATAAGTTCAGTGCTTACCCGAAGCTGAAAGATTTGCACGTTTCCTTTTCTTCTGTGCAGAATAACTGACACTCCAACACTGTTGTAACATGAGACGTTTTATAAATGTCCTTTGAATTGTGTCGTTGACCAATTGCTAGGCGCTCGTAACAATCTATAAAAAGTCGGTGTCGTTCAGTTTGCCATTTTTTTTCCTTCATTAATTTTTTTTATTGACATGAACCTGATTCGCGATTTTACAGTTAGCTTAATGACTGGTTTATCGTGGAATTTATTTTAGGAGCAGAAAAAAAATCCATTAAAGATAATTTATGAGGACTTGAAGACAAATTCAAACTTAAGTAGAACAAACATGCATCTTATAGCTACTAGTTTTTACATAAAAGATTCGTAATTTTAGATTCTGCTTTTGCTTAAGATTGAATTTTCATAATTAAAAAAAAAAAAAATTGTAACTAATTAACCAAAGCAACTAAAGAAAAATTAAAAAATTATTTCTTACCGTTTTTGATGACTGCGAGTTGTCCGTCGATTTTGAGGGCTCTCAGCACCCCCAAGAGAGCCAGACTAGCTGCCATAATAAATAAAAAATCGACTGTAGTCCTCGTAAACATCTTCTAAACACACTTTAATTTAATTTAAGCATCACACTAGTAAACTATGCTTGCTTCAGAAGATAACGAAATGCATCACTAATTCGTTTAATTGATCACTTTCTTCTCTTGCAGCATCAATTATTTGCGCGTGCTGCCGCATCAAGGTGTTAAGACTGTGTATGTGAGGAACTCGTGCAGACGAAGAAGAAGTAGCGGTGGAAGACGATGAAATGTATACAGCCGCTATCTCCACAATCTTTAAAGCGGTCTTCGGACTAATTTACGGTGGAAAGAAAAAGACAAGACGTTGCTTCGCATATGATTTTTATTTGCGAAGGTCAAATTTTACGGAGCTAATTAGCGTGCCTTGCACTCCTGAAAGCCACCTGAGGCTGTAGACTTCCAATTTTTTCGGTCGACTTTTTTCTTTAATTTTATAATTTGATGTCGTTTTTGCGGAACTTAATGAGATAATATTTGTTGTAATGATACGGTAATGTTTCAGTTTTTTATTTTTAATTTCTTTTTAATATAAAAAAACAAACATTTTTCTAACGTTCCAGATTTATTTTAAATTAGGTGCACCAGCCAGCTCTTCTACAACCGGTTTGAGTGCATCATCAAGTGCACAGATTCTCGACGTCCAGTTGAACATTTTTCTTTTAGTGGTCAAGTGGTAGTTTGATTTTTTGTTTTTCACCGAACTGGGTTCCCAACGAGGTTTTTGACTTCAAAAACAAAAGATTCTTCCTGAGAAGGTTCAATGTTATGAATAATACCAAGGTAACGAATACATTACGCTCTGCTGCTTTTAACGTTTGTTTTCGTAATTGCGGAGGTATTATTTTATAAGTACTCTTAATATTATGCGAGGCATTTCGACTGTTGATCTTCTTGAGAACCTCCCACAATTGGTAAAAAGTTCAAAGTTGTAATTACCATTTCGCGGAAATGTAAATGAACCCGCTGGGTTTTTGTGGCGAGCGAATTCGGCGAGAAGGGAGGAAGGAGGGGGCGAAGTAAAATAAAAAAATGTAAATACAAAAAAATATATATAATTTCTACTGGTGTCACGAACAATTTATTACGTTTCGATAATATTTTTGTTGTGAAATTGCACTTAGCTGAAGAAAACTATACAACTAGAGAAAGAGATTATTAGGAGGAAAATAAAATAACAAAAATATTAACAAAATGTAATAATTGTCAAGGACCAACAGAAATAAAATATATATAATATAAACAAAATGTTAGCAACATCTACACTAAAAATTTCACCAGCAGTATAAAGGTTCTAATAAATTAAGATAATGTACAGTTTTGTAGCCCAAGGTACATGTTTTTTAAACATTTTAATCAATATAATCGTTTAACAATAGCTATACCATTACCCTCTGCCAACCCTCATTTACAAAACTGGCTATTATACTACGTAACTGTAACTCGCCGCTTTGTTAACTTTGCGTTAAATAAAATACGAATAAAGTAGTAAAAATTAGCGCGGAATGAATGATATGTATGCAAAAATATTGTATCTTTAAATAAAATATTGTGGAAGATTGTAATTTCTTTATTTAACAAAAAGTTAACATAAAAAGGCAAATTACATTTCGTAATATTGTTATCATGTATGTAACACAGCCATGTCTTTATAGTAATCTCCGAAAAATAGTAATTTCTAAAATTACATGGTTCGTTAGATACAAAAATAACCAATAGCCTCTCGTTACAGATGTTAACCATTGTCAAAAAGAACTACATTAAATAATAAAATATAAAAATCTCTATAATACAAGACAACACAATTTTCACAGATGTGATGTTAGGTTCTTTTACACCTAGAAAGTTACTACATTAACGATAAATAGTTTTATAACACTGGGTTGGACCACTAAAGTTAAAATCGGATTTAACAATGGTTAACATGGACAAGCATTTAAAAACTAACTTAAAAATTAGAACTATTCATTCTGGCATTTTAGACGGGAAATTACATAAACATACGTCAATTTTGACTTCACTTTCAAAAAATGATGAGAGAGGCAAGTAGCTGCAGATCGAAGTATTAGCTGTGTTCGTGTAATTTCCTTGCAATTCTAACAAATCTATAAATCGTAAAAGCTGAAAAAAAGTTTGTTATCACGTTCGCAAACTTTCATTTTATTATGGAAAAAAATGCAAATTCGAATCCATAATAAAACAAAACAAGTAAAATAAGAATCAGATATAGTTCTATTTCATAAATACTCTATATACTATTTCATATACTTTATACATATACATCTCTTTTATATATATTTTTATAAAACCATGTGTCACCAAGTAAAACTTAACTAAAAAACAACAAGTTAAAAACCAGTAGAAACTCACTTGTAAGCATACAGTCTTGTCTATTATGTATTTGTAAAAATCTGCTATTTCAACGCTACCAACTAAAGTGATTTCAGTATACTTACGTATATAAACGCAGTCTAATTATTATTCTCAATACATAACTAAAACAGAGTCTTACTGCCTTGTAACTTGTTGGTTATATATTATATATCAATAGTGTATAACTTTAATCTTACGTGTAATTAGCGTGTTACGTTAAGTGGCAGATTACGATACGTAAATATCTCATTTAAAAAACCGCAAAAAATATACCAATCGATTTTATCAGCACCTAGGATTCAGAACCATATATAACACACTGCATAGATATAATAACAAACAACAAACAATAAGTTGTACTTTGAAATCAGGGCCCGGCTTCTAGAGCTTTTGCAGTTTTTTAAATAATACTTAGAGATCTGCGGTTCTTTATTTCTATGTCACAACAATAAATTTTTATCTCATTATAACGAAATTATATTTTATATTATTTATGTATTTAAGGCCGATACATTCAGTATGAAGGAATCTGCAACAAATAACACCCGTAAATCATCGACTGTAAGTGCAGGCACTCACACAACATGGCAACGACGCAACATCGCTAAATTTCAACCTCATCTCTATTGTGTCGACGATGGGATCGAAAGTTTTCTGTTGCTGAAAACATCACACACAGCTTAGTTTTAAATAAATATCAAACACAAAAAAAAATTTGATCCTTATTCTCAATCCAAAAACTTAACAAACGGTATTTTTTATTTTTATCATTTTGAAAAAAAAAGCAATATAGATTCACAGACATCAGTAAACTGACAATGACGGTCGCGGCATTAACCGGAAACTCTTCATTATGTGGACAATGACCGTGAAAGTGTACATTTTACCACAGTCCGTGTGTGTATGTATGTATGTGTGTGTAGATTATCAAGTTTGAAACATCTGGCACCTGTTGGACGCTTCCTATAATCTTTTTTTTATTTGAGAAAATTGAGAAAATATTTCGATGAAATAAAAAAAAAATAGAAAATATGCCAAATTTTTGATGAAAACATAGAATCTATTAATTTAGAGTTTCTAGACGACAGGCAGGTGAACAACATGCCGAGGACTAGACGTTTTAACGTCAATGATTCACTTTAATTGATGCTTAGTACTGCTTAGTCACTAAATAATACTTATTGTTGCTCGCTCGTTTTCTTAATATTTAACTTCCTAATCTGAGCCTGACATTATTTGTGTTCTTTTTTCGTTTAGGATGAAAATTACTGTTTCTTCATAATGAAGCCCCCATGAGAACCAATTTGCAACGATTCACTGAAAAATATTTCTTCGTTCACTGGTCTATTCTACCAAAGACAAATCTTCAATCGTCTTTGATCGTTTTTTATTGCTCTCTCGGTGCACTAATACCGCATGATCCAAAATGACTGAGTCTGTTGGTAATCCTGGATTTTTAGTTGAAATTGGTTGGTATCATGGTATTTTCTATAATTTCCAGTTGTTAGCTGTCAAGATTGACGAATTGTTGACATTTTTAAATTGCAAAATGTATCCAAAACATAACCTAAATTAATCACATGGGACGATTGACATATCTGTCACACAATTACTTCCGTTATGCCAATATAAACGCAAGAAAAGTTCCCATTTTCGTTTAAAAAGTACTGCCAACAGACTCAGTCATTTCTAATCACGCGGTATATTTTAATTAAATCTGATACAATATGAAAAATACAAAGCTGTTAGATTTTTTTTTAATTGTCAATAGTAATTGACAATTACGATATATGTATAATCCTATCACAGTTTGCAAATGCGTGTTATTTAATAATTCAAAGTGGTTAAGAGTATTACCTAAACAATGTACTCGAGAAACTCATGATAAAATCATAATTTATTTATTAGAAGGTCACTCGCATAGATTTTTCCTATTTAAATTTACGTTTTATTAAAATAAAATGATATCACGAAGATTCATCGCACTTAGTAATTTTTGCTTTAAAATACATACATTTCATGTTAAAAGCCGTAAATAATTTCTGACAACGTTTCATTTGACAAAAAAAATTCATAAGACTGAAAAAACAAAATCTACTTTATTTGCAAGTGTCAATGTATATTTTTGCTATGAAATATTTTGCAAGACGCCGATGTAAGTTTCTTCTTTTAGGCGAGTAAATTGTTTGTTTATAATAGCTTTTATATCTTACATCGCACAACATTTAGAAAAAAATTCCAATTTTTTCATGGTAAATGAAAAAAAATATGTAACTTTATGTTTCTCTAATATGAAGCGAAAAAGTGATCACTCAACTCGAGAACGAAAAGTATGACAGTTTACTCAATTTAGCCCAAAATTATATTACACTTTTTTCTTTTTCATGTCAGATCTAGTTCTATCCCATATTTCTAAAAAGCATGTTCAAATTTACTTCAAAAGCAAATAATTATTTACGTTATAAGCCAGATAAAGTCGTTATTATCGTAAGAATCTGATACGCCACCCACAAAATTTTATCTATGACAAATATTTGTTTGAAATCAGTTTAAATAAACGAAGTTTTTTTATTCATAGAAAAAAATTACTTAACTCAACTGGTAGGACAAGCGAAATCAGCCCAAAACGAACCAATTTTTTCAAGTTCTGTTATTTATAATCCGCAGTGGTGAAGAGTAACAAACTCATTCATAACTCTATAAAACTATTGATAGAAAACCAAAAGCGTATCGAGCCCAATGACTAATCACCACAGCTCGCACTTTAACTGTCAGTGGGGCATCTTAGGTGTCTTTGGCCATCAAAATTTTTGCTAGTATCGTTGCTATTTTGAATTTTTGGCTTGTCTGCCTATTTTACATAGCTTTTTCAGCTCATTCACGTTTAGCAGCTAGTAAATAGGAATTAACTTTAAAAAATTATTTTATTTGAAATTCATTCATAAAACACTGGTCATGTTGAAGTGTTAATGGCCATACTGTGCCGATTACTATTTCACTCTAAAATAGCTTACTACGACGCATTCAAATCAAAATAAAAATTTGCGTTAAAAAAGTTGAATTTTTCCTTGAGTAAACAAAACATAAGCTGCATGAGACATTTCAAATTAAGAACCTCCTTGTTGCCATTACAAAATTAGATATCGCCACTACAATACTCACAGTAGCTATGCTGCTACAAATCAGAAGATTCTGCAGAAGTTTCTCAACTGTCCACGCTAAACAACTCCTTGTGTAGCGCAGGAAACTCAAGATGTGGCGCAGATCTTTTGAGTTTTCCTAATGCATCCATATGTAGCATACTTATCTCCCTAAAACAAAAACCATTACCAAGAACTCCGTTTCACACTACAACTCACCTTAATGAATTTATTTTCGTAAGCAAGGCATCACAAACAGTAACATCCCCTTTTATGGGTAAACTGTGGTTTCTGTCCAGCTCAAGTCTTAAAGCTCTCACGACAGCTTGGCTGAGTCGACTGATTTCGCCGATTCCTTTCAGACCCGGTCGATCTAGAAAGGGAAAAAACAAAATTTTCGCTAAAAATGCTAGTTCTTAGTCGAGCTTACCTGGAGAGAGCAAGACGCAAGCTGAATACAGAGCCAGCTCCGTTTCCGTGAGTTTCAGCTCTGCTATGCTTTTGGAAACCTCGAAAACACACGTGACCAACTTCATCTCTGCGGTGTCCGATGTAAAGAAGGCGTCCTGAGGGAGCATGGTGTCGCCGTAAAGAACACAGTTTTGGGATAGATCCAGGTAGCGAGACATTCGAATTATTGCCAGCTCAAAACTACCTGTTAGAATTAAAAATAAGAGTCAGAGAATCGTTATTTTTGATCCGTAATTTACTGATTTGCGCACGACTTCCCATTTGGTGTAGACAAATTTGGCATTATTGGAAATTAAAAAAATTAAAATCTTCTGTGACTTAACATAATTACACTTCATTAAAAAAGTTGTGAAACTGGAGCAAACTCATCATTATTTAGATGTGGTTTTTATAACATTTCAGAATTTTGAATTGTTAATGAAATACTCATGTCAGTTAAGTAAATTCCAGTCCTTTAGTTATGTAACGGTCATTTACGTTACGAGTGGAATAAAAGCATTATTACATGTGTAATTAACTAATTACACGAGTATGATAATAATGCGTCAATGAAATAGGTGAAAAAGATGTTTATATTAGAAAATGAAGGAAGTGCTCATTTGAGTAACATAATATAAATGAGTGCAGTAATTAAATCAAATCACGTAAGTTCAGTTTATCACACTGCTACATTACTGTGTCTAATACAACAAAATTACAAAGTGGGTCTCTGATGTACATAATCTACATTAATGTTTAATTTGGACCGTATTTCAACCGAATTTAACGGTTTTCATTATTTTTGCTGAACCACAATATATTTATTTTAATAATAAATTGTGGGCGTGATCAAGCCTATATTCAAGCTTTTTTATTACAGTATTGTTTTTAGAATCTGTAGCAGAACAATCTGCCGTTGCTTTTTAATATCTAAACAGAATAAAAAAACTGCCACAAGCGTACTTGTATTTACTGTTTTAGGTTTTTGTATACCAACCCTTAAAGCTGCTTTAGGCGAAATTTTATTTTAATTATTATGAAATCAACCAACAGTCTTATAATAATTTTCTAGATATTTAACCAGTTGTGATACTACCAAGGGTTTTAGTTTATTTAAAAAAATTGTCATGACGACATAGTAAAAAATATTTTCTGTAGAACTAGTCAGCAGATTTAAGGTATTCGAACTATAAAAAGGTAATTTCTCATTCCAAACCTCGTACGAACTCAAGCAGCAGCCAATCAGAAAACAGTACATATTGTCAAAATTTTTGGCAGAATGCGCACGCAATGAAAAGCTAAACTGTTTGATATTAAGCATTTTGATTAGCTCGGGAAATTCAAAAATGCTGTCACTTACTAGATATTTATAACAGGATGTTCAAACAAACTGTCGGCCCTAGATGGGCACTGCAAAAGAGAGAAATTAAATCAATGCGCTAAAGAAGGATAATACGTATGGGTCGTTCCATATAAAAACACTGAATGAGATGTATAATTTTTGGATTTTGATGTCTGGGTTCTTATTGGTTTCAAAAACAAATGTTGAAGAAGCAGGGACGTATTTATCTGAAAGATTTATGTGGAGTTACATTTTTATTAAATGGAATAAAATTATTGTTTTCAATTTTGATATTGTACGTCTTGAAAATATTATTTTATTTTTGATAAATAGTACTATTATAAACAATTCTTACAAATTCTAAATATATTGTTAGAAACTTACGTGATAATATTCATAGGTGTTTCAAAGATTTTTTTTTAATATCTCCTTAGACTACCTTTTAAAAAAATTATGTCTCTTATTAATGAGGCGAAAATAGCAAAACAAGACTCGCGTGAAAAGATGAACGGAGGGACATTTCCTGAAAGTTTCAAATTTGTTTTTTTTTTGCCTCAATATTGCGATTTCAGGAGGTAAAGTAGGCTATTTTAGAAAATTCACATATTTCAAGTTATTTTTTTTCTTCAAGAAATGATAGAGACAGATGAAAAAAATCACTTTAAGAGTGCCAATCGAAAATGAAGCATCCAAAAAAATAAATGACGACGCTTTTTCATATTGGTTAGTGGTTACCTAAAAGATTGTCCCCAATTTTTTTAATAAAAATCAAAAATCATACATCAAGTTTTATTCAAATTTAGGGTTTTCATATGGAACAACCCGTATCTTAGTAACTTTGTGGACATTATTATGGTATTCCTTCTGAGAAATATCGGTTACTCTAAGTCTCAATTAAAATTTCATGATACAGTTGTTTCCATGATTTTTGGAAAAGTTCGTTTTCATTATTATTTTGTTTTCATATTCTTATTACTATTTTTTTCAATGTTCAAATCGGATGCAAGTTTAAAATATGAAGTTTAGTAAAATAAAAATCCTGATTTGGTATTCTATTTCAGCGCTAATGCTTGAAAATACGGGAACTTTAAATTGTTTGAAATACCCAAATACAGTTGGAATCAACGGTTTCAATAAAGGAGCTGCACGCTCTAAAACTGGTTTAATAACTATACACAGGTGTGTCGATAGTAAACAGAAAATAAGCTAGTAGTTTTTTTTTTATATTTTACTAAAGACTGCACTTAAATTCCTTAATGAAATCCGTGTCCCACTCGTAGCCAAAGTGGTTTAATATCTATAAACATATTTTCTAGAAATCTAATAACATAAGTGATGTGTGACTTAAGTCATAGATTTGAATTTTTATACGTCCACTGTAGTGTAAAAATAAGTAAAATTTCCGGTTACAAATTTATACGTTTCATTATTAATGAAGATTAATGGATTTGTGACGATTCGCCCGTATCAAAACATTTTAATTTTTTTTTTTTTTGAAAATATTTAGTCATGTGCACGACTACGCATCTGTTAATTTATTCATACTTGGAATTTAACTTAACTTAAGCCGACTTACTAAATCGATTTTATTTCCAAAGCTTTCCGCAATGCCAAATTTACCACTTCGTGTATAACACAACTTTAAAACTACATACTAAGCTACTTGCCTGCTTTCAACAAGACGATTTGATCATCTTGCGACAGCTTCATAAATCCAGGTACCATTTTAGCAAATTCGATGATCTGCTGTATGATTGTGGTGAGTTTTTGGGCACATTCGAGCCACAATTCCTCATGGGCCATGTTCTTATAGTACAAAAGTCGGGAGAGATCATGGGGTTTCCTGAACATCTCGTGAATATGTTCCAGGGTATATAAACAAGTACGTGTGTGTGCGTCTGATATTGTCTTCGATAATAGTTCCGATATCTGACTTGGATCTGTAAAAGAAATTTTACTTTATTCTCTGGTAACAGCACGTCGACAACAAAGCATCCACATGCCGCGGTAGGCAACCAGTAAAACATGCATCACCACTTGTGAAAAGAAAAGACACCAAGAGCACACTGGTCTGCAATGGACTTACTAGGCAAAGTGACAGGTTCACAATCGTCCCCACTTCTCTGCTGTACATTTTGTGAACTGGTCTGTTGCCTAACTGTGTTAGTCTGTTGTACTGTAGGAGAATGAACGAAAGTGGTGCTATCTACATAACTGGGTACCAAAGTATCCACAGCCACCTCCTGCTTCACCGACACCACCGATCCTCCAGACATTGTCGTGGAGGAGCTCTGACTGACTCTTTTAAAAGAACGAGAGTCGGACATGGACAGCGCAGTTTGTTTGCCGCCACCACCACCACCACCACCGCCACCACCACCACCGCCACCACCACCGCCGCCACCACCACCTTCACCGCTATTTGTGTTAGTATTCCCTAGTAAAGGATGAATCGGTATTTACGTGCGTGGGTTGGCGGACCGGACTTACCTGTTGTTACTACGTTGGCCATTAAACTTCCCGTGTCGTTTAGGGCGTCCAGGCCCGGCCTTGGGTCGTACGCCGTTGTACTATCCACGTAATCTGCCGAGATGTCGTAACCCATCGAATTCGCTTGGACTTGGGTTGTATTCGTGTAGTAGGCTGGTGTGTATGCGCTGACATCGCTGTTATACGTATACCTTTAGGTAAAAGAATAGATGGAGGATAACAACACAAAAAAAACGGGTTCTTTGGAGGCAAATTAAAAACAGAGTTGGGGTCTGACTACGGGAAAAATGTCTAAGCACTACTTATTTCATCCGCACTCAATTTATAATAACGTAATAGTTATTTCAGCAAACCACGTGATCAAACTACGAATTGAAATTATATGTTATTATTAATGTAAAGCATTGTAACAAAATTTAAAAAGTTATTGAATTATATTTTATATTAAATACAAAAATGATGAGAATAATGAGAAGATGATATAAGAATAATAATTAAGCCGAAGGTGCAACCCAAAATACATTTTCAGAGGTATTTTTCAATTTATCAAAAACTACCCGCACTAGATTAGAGGGTTTTTTTAATTTTTTTCAAACTAATTTAATATTACTACTCGAAAATGTTAATTTAGAAATACGCCAACATTTATGGTTTCAACAGGATGGTGTTCCTGCGCATTATCATAGAAGGGTGCGGGATTACCTTGATATGGCCTTCCCTAACAGGTGGATCGGGAGCGGGTCTGTTAACCCTTGGCCTCCCAGAAGTCCAGATACTTCGCCTTTAGATTTTTTTCTGTGGGGCACAATTAAAGACATAGTTTACCAAACTCCAATTGTTGAACATTTGAAAAATAAAATAACGGAAGAATTTATCTCCCAGAGGTTTTAGTGCGGGTGAAAAATGTCATTTCGGGATAGGACTGGCGCAGGTAAAAGGAGCAATTGGAGTAGTTGTTACAATAATTAGATAAATTTTTGTTGTGAACTTTAAAATTGAAGTTTTTGTCAAAATAAATGAATCCTTTGAAAATGTATTCTGGGTTGCGTTCCCAACTCTGTCGAGCTCATTATTACTCGTGGATCACCCTGGATAAACGGTAATGCAAAATAATACCAACTCTAATGATATTTTACTTGTCTTGAAAATACAACGGAATTTATACCACAAACAAAAAAGTATTGCGTATCAAATGTGTTACAAATTCGACTTTATCTTTAGTTGTTATTATTATTACCTTGCTTTGTTTGTTATTGACATTATGTTCATTACTTTCTCGAACTCTGTTGTGTTGTTTAATTTAATTTCATAATTATTATGCCATGCAACAAAATGAAAGCATTTTATTTTCACTGGAATGACATGAGATTTGGCTAAAAAAATTTTACTCACATCAGATTTATCAGATAAATTTTTTCAAACTTAAAATACACCGTAGGTTTTAAATCAATGTTTGTCGATCTTTGGAAGGTTTTTTAAAAACGATTCATGTCATATTTGTTTTACTAACCGTTTAGTGCAGAGTACTGATTAAGAAACACATCAGATTTACGAAATCTTTATTATTTGAAGATAATAAAACAAAAAAACAAAAATAATCATATAAAACTAATAAAATGTTTCGACACTGATTAAGTGTGCTCCGCTACTAATTTTTATGGAATTTTGTAACTTTATTTACTTAGCTATTTACTTAGCTATAACTACACACCCCAAAATCTTAAGAAAACTTTATAAAACAGCGTCATTACATACAATAGTGTTAGTCTAATTAAACTTGCATCAAATTATCAAAATACAAAGGATACCAAACATTTAAATTGGCTTTAATTAATATAGTTTTGCGGTATTGCCAAATTTATTTATAACCATAAACATAAAGATTAAAAAATCGAAAAAATATGTTTTTGGAAACCCATGGAAACAATTATGTTTCGTTTAAATTTAGTTTTAGCTTTATTCAGAGACATTCTTTCTTCAAAATTAATCTCCATATAAAATGTAACAATATCAACACAAAAAGTTCAAATAAAAAACTAAACGGTCTTAAACTGTACAGTTTACATTTTCGTCGAATTTGTTTGAGCACATTTGACTTTAACGAGTGACTAAAATTATTTTTATACTTATAGACGGTGCACGTATGTGTCAAAAATTATTCTATTCTGATGGAAGTACTCCACAAAAGAAAATAAACTAGAAATTGGGGGATAAATAATAAAGTAAAAATGAAAAAAATTGCACTCACCCGCCGTTATAACTATGATGTAGCTGATCACTACTCGAGGGTGTCTGCTGTTCAAACACTGAACTGTCAGGTGCGGAGTCGCTCTGCGCCCTCAGTTGTGCCCTATGAAACCTAACTTCGTCTTCCACTTTCTCCCGCTGTTTCTTCGACATCCTGCCGAATTTTACAGCTGAAAAAAAAAACAAAATTTAACAATCATTTTTATAAAATTAGCGAAATGATCCGTGTAAAAATTTAAGTAGCAATAAATTGCTACGAGCTTTCATCTAATCACCCGTTATCCGCGTGGGTGTTGCACCTTTGACTTTAGGCACAACATAATCTAAACATGTCATGGCTATTGCAGTAAAATTTGTGTTTGCTGGAGGCAGCTAGACAAATTTAAATTTGTAGTTACTAACACTGTAGATCTTATCTTTAAATATATTCCCCGAAGGTTGCAGAATTCGTATTGTAATGAATATTCGAAACGCAGACAATGAATTTATGTTAACTAAGGTTTGTCGCGAAAAGTGGAGTGAACACTTTTAATGAAATGGAGATTCTTATTTTTCGTAATATAATAGAAAATGTTCATTATCACGGACAACGAGACTTAATAAAAGTAGAAAGAATCTACATTACCAGATCGAAATTCCATGCGAAATTATGGATGACTGTGAAACTCCAAATTAGGTCATACTGTTATTTATCGTAATGATTTTTGTAAAAGCGACATTACCTTTTTAGGAGAAGCTAAAACGTTTCCACATTGTTTTCACTATTTTGCTGGATTTACCTTCATCGCATTACTCAAAATCAACATTAGCCGGGGATGGAGCCGAACGGTGGTGTTTATACAGTTAAAGAGATTGAAGGGTAGAGAGATAAAAGAGTTAAAAGTTATATTTCTAAAAAAAAAAAATACGGGTAGGGTCTCAAAAATACGATAACTAAACTATGGTTTTTATGACATTCTGAAAATTGTAGAATTGAATTGTACACATTGTTTTAGAGCGAATATGTTTGGAAAATTTGTTTATCTATTCCCATCAAGAGCTCGATGACATCATTTTTAAATTTATGCAGAAAAATATTAGGGTGAGTATAAAGTTTTGTCTGCAATGCGTAGATGAAGTGACTGATTAAAACGTTCATTCAAAGACTCTAGAATTTATTTAATTAGTCATTTTCTTAACTCAAGGAGATACTGATCCTACGTTATGTATTTTTCCGCTTTGAATTAATTAAAAGTTCAAATAAACTTCTGGAACATAATTTTACCTAAAATATTTATTCTGTAAATTTTGGCTCTCAAAACTCTGTTATGTCAAAATATTTACGCATACTAATTAGCGCAATAAATTACTAAAACTCTAATAATCAGTTTACAGTGCGTACTAAGTAAGATACGTCAGTCGTAGTTTCGATAATGATCGATTTATTCACGGTTATAATAATTCAAGGAACGAATCCATTATGAAAGGAATTTTATTTTTAACTGCGGTCTAAGAGACGGCAAATCATACCCAGAAATCATCTTCTCCGCTGAATTTTAACGACGCTTTCTCTGAACGGCTTTTTGTGGATGTGGAAAGAACGTTGTGCTGTTTTCGGTTGAAAAGTGTATCAAAAATTTACCTTTCCAAGACTCATTGAGCCGTGGAAAATATGCTCCAATGATAAATCGTTCACAATTTAAAAAATCTGTTTTAACTACCATCGCTCAATGTCATGCGACGAATATTAAAAATTTTGCTCGACCTCTTTTGACCTTAGTACAAATTGCGCAGTTCAAAAGTAAATAAATAAGGTCCGTATCACAAAAATTTAATAAAATGGACGATCTGGTTCGTTATAGTGAAAGTATAATACAGTTTACGTCCCACATCAGTAATCAATTCTGGTGGAGGCGCCGGGTAGGAACAAATAATCGAATTTTTTTATGTTAAAAGATCTACTAAAATATTGTTTACGCATAACGCTCATCGTTATGATCCTAATGAAAATTATAAAATTTGTGCACCCATGACTTTTTAAATTTTGCATTTTCGTTAACATTATTGTGTGAACGATAAATCTCTAAGCAAAATTTGTCTGTTTACACTTTATTTGTGGTTTAATATAACATTCATATTTTTATTAATATCGATTTAAGGATTATGGAACATGCATTAAAATTTATTCGTTCTTCCTCTCAACAACTTTGATGACGTCATCTCGAAAATTTATTTAAAAATTCAACCTGTTTTTAATAACCCACCACTACTTTAACTTTTAGCACGTAAGGGTTATGATATCGATTTTATAATTTATTTCAACTTGTTTAAAATTTTTGGTGACACATTTTAGTGATTACACGAGATTAACAAAGTTTTATTTATTCATTCATAAAAATATACTTGAAGTAAGATTTTCTTATGAATATTTCAGTGAAATAGTTTAAGTTTTTACAAGCAAAAATAGTGAAAATGTGAACTTAAAGTTGCAGATAAAACTACAAAAAACGTAAATTGTGTCAAAATTTTCAAGGGATTCGTATATTATAAGGTATACCCAGACGTTTAGCCACAATTCAAAGCTGTCACTTGTGTCATTCTGTTTTGACATTTAAATGTAGTGGCTAAAGCTTACAAATTTTAACAAATCACGTGGAGGCTCTTGTTGGGACTCCACTTTGTAGCTAAGTTTAGTCTGCGAATTTAAATCATGTTTTGAGTTTTGTAAAAGAGTTCATTTAGTTTTCCTGAAATTTGTAAAACAAACCAAAGTTCTTATACTGTTTATTAAATTTAATATGTTAACATTAAAGTGTTTACCCTTACAAAAAATTGCTACATAAATCGTAATTGAAAAATATGTAAATAAGTAACTTTATGTACGACAGATTTTTTCAAGTTTCCTCGACATTTGATTACCCCAAGAGTAGGAAAAAATAGGTCTTCCGTTTTCGTCTCTCTGTCTGTCGTCTGTCTGTGTATCGTCTGCCTCTGTCGATTTTTATTAGACAGATAATCTCCGAAACTACTGGACCGATTGTTATTTAATTTTATATGTGATTTAAGAAATCGTGGAGACATTGCGAAAAAATTTAGAGAAAAATGGAGTAATTTGACAACATTGCAACAAAAAATTTCAAAAATACAATAAGCTTATCAAATCAAAGAGGTGGTTAATTATAACATAGCTATAAAAATACATACGGGGTCCGCTTTAAAAAATTAAGTATACATTGCATATCGAAAACATTGAATTTGTTTGAGTGTTTGACTTCAAATATAATCCTGGAAAAGAGCAATAGGATTACCATAAAAGTGTAAACTTCGGTCAAATAATGTTTATTAGCATTCTATTGCTTTGTTTTCTACCTGATCTGGCCCTGTTTTCGATGGCGCTTCGCTTCACTCATCTTCCATTGGACTATTTTTTTACACTGTGACCGGTATTATTATTATTATCTTTTTAAACTTATTTAATTGTACTTATGGGGAGAGAGAAGTTCTGTTTAATAATATGAGACCATTTTTTTTATTTAGAATAGATTAAAAAACATTTTTCACTACAAACTTTATACGTAAATTATACTAAATGAAAAAACTAATTATGTATTACAAAAAAAAAAAAACGTTTGGTTCGCTACAAACAAAGTTCGTTTTATTAAACATTTCATGGAAACAGATTTATAACCACCTGAACCTAATTCTACCAGTAAGCATTAAATTCACAAAAATCTTTCTTAATATCATTATCAATTACAACAACTAAACCACTGTCTCGTTTCTTAAAAATTCGCCGGAAACTCCAACTGATACCCTCAAAATGCATTGAAACTAGGACGCACAGACGACAAAATGGAAAAAGAGAACAACGAAAAATTCACGGAAATGATAAAAAGAAAAACTGCCTTCCTCAAAGCTACACCTAAAATTCGGAGATATCTGACTAGTATGAAACCACAAATTCTGATGTGGAAAGCACTCTGAACCCCTTAGGGACGTGTGCAATCGACTAGAGGAAGAAAAGTAAATTTTAAAAGATGACAGAGAAACACTTTGATCTCGTGGAGTAATTTTGATGCCATTGCTGTAAAAATAGTAATCAACGAATCATGAAAAATGTATAACTCCTTAGTTTCTTCAAATCGCGTTTTACGCAGGCTGCAATTGCCTTAACCACAACCACTGTGGGTTTCATTGAAATTCGCTCGATTACCACACTGGCCGAAAGATCCGACCATGTTTCAACTTGTGAATAACTGAAACAGCCAAGATGACCTACAAATTGAAGAAATAACTGTTCTGGAGTCTCCATTAACCGCAAATTACTAGTTTGCAGTAGCGTCATACCGGAAAATTGATTAAACTCGATGCCACACAGTGCGCCGCTTAAAAACTCCAAACATTGCTCAAGAGAAACTTTAAATAGAGAAAATACGACGAGAGGGGGAAGCAAAGAACGCCAGCCACGACAAAAATGTATTTTCCATTGTTTTCATCCCGACTTTTTTCCATTAGGTATGGTAAGTATAATGAGGTAAAATTGAACAATGCAATGGCGTTTATTTAATAGGTTACAAAGTGACGCAATGTGGGAAGTTAACTCGAACAATGCAAACATTATACATAGAAGACACATTACAGTAATCCGCGCTAAATTAAGCGGCTGTTGCATGAACACACAACATACATGGGCGCATATGCTGTTCGCAATTGCATGGTAATTGTTGGAAAAGAGGCTTAAGTGAGCCACAACTGCTTAACACTTCGGACTTCAAATGTGTTTAAACGCCCACACTTAAGCCGATTTGTCATTAAATTTGCGACACTGGAAATGCTAGCTTGTAGAAAAAGCAAAATCGGAATTATCTGTGGAATGATTTAATGCATTGAAAAATTGACGACAATAAATACTATGTTCAATAGATTAGCACTTAGAGATAGTGCTAAGAGTAATGAGTAGTACGATAAGTGCATTTTTTCTTATCAATAGACATTCCTTAACAATGTGTCATAGATTTGGTACGACAATTTTTAAGCACTCTGTATAATATTTCAAAATGTCAGTTTTTTTAATGTAATGGTGTGGTGTCTCTCTAAACAATAAAAAACTAAAAGGAATGGATTAATTTATTAACTGAATAAGGTTTTTTCGACTTCAATAATTTATTTCTAACATTATAATTATTGCAAC